CCCTTCAATCCCAAACCCCCCTAACGCTTCAAGCAAATAGAACGACATTCCCAACCCTAAACCCTCTTCTTCTTCAAAAACATTCATCTTCTTCAACTATCCCCAAGTCTCAAGCACGCTCCCCCTTTCCTCTTCTTCGGTTCCCATAACATTCTCTCACTACAGGTAGGCTTTCTTGGTACCATTTTTCTCTTTTTTTCTTTTTTTCAGATTTTCATTTTTTTTTTATTTTTTGTATTTATGTAGTTGTTGTTCTTTTCTTTGTTTAGTCAAAATTTGTAGTATATGTTGTAGCAAGTGTGGGTGGAAAGGTTGGTGGATTTAGAGCTTGAATTAGTTGTGATTTTGGGAACATTGTGGTGGTTTTAGGGTGGTCAAATATTTGAAATGGGTTGGGGGTAATGAATGCCCACAAGGTGTCTGTGTAAATGCCTCAATGACTGTAATTGTGTACTTGTGACCAATTATGCGTGTGAAGTCTGAGTAACCGCATTATGTCACAAGTTTGTGTTGGGCTGTGCTAATGTTCTCCCGTTCTCCAGGTACTATGGCTCCATCTCGAAAATGTCGCGCCATAGGTGCCTCTTATAGCAGCCAAGCTGGCTCGTCCAGGGCGTGCGGGTCAGCCCCAGCTCGCCCATTTAATAGTAGCAGGTTTGTCTCTGCCAAAGCCCAGAACCGCTTTGCGGATAAAGCCCCTAAAAAGACGATACCGGGAAAGGGGAATTGATATAGGATTGGTCCAGCTGGGTTCCCTCACATGTATACTGAGCTGGTGAGGCTGGAGTTACAAACGTTCATTGACGAGCCGGGCAAGGGCAATGTGATGGTTGTTCGAGAGTTTTACGCCAATGTGAAAGAGCATGTCAATGGTATCGTCACTATGCGCAAAAAATTGGTGAATGCCTCTGTTGAGGCTATACGGATGATGTACCAACTGTCCCCTCATTAGGATCCTTATGATGACTATTATGAGGGGTATCGCCGATCACACATGCAGTGGGCGAGGTTCTTTGAAATAATTTGTGTTCCCGGAAAGGAGATTATCTAGATGAAGTATGGTAGGAAGTTTCATTCCTCGCCACTAACCTTTGAAGGGAAGTGCTGGTTGTATATTATCAACAACCGGCTGATCTCGTCCTCCAATAGTACGGAGGTGAATGGCCCTCGAGCGGCTCTGATTTGGTGCTTCATCAATGGTCACAACTTTGACGTGGCCAAAGTGATTCATGAGGAGATGTTCACCCGATGTCTAATAAAAAGGTATGGATTCTTTTTCCCTTCATTGGTTACTAAACTTTGTTGGGCAGCTAGTGTGCCGAAAAATTTGGATGTTGATGGGAGAGTGCCAAGAGACCACAAGTTCCGAGCTGACAAGGTCACCACTAGTAAGGAGCCGGTGGAAGTAGGTGGTGATGCCAGTGGAGAGTCTGATGACTCTGAGGAGGCGGAGACTGAGCAGAAGGATGTAGGGGCCGAGCCATAGGCCCATGAGCGAATTGCATCTGCTGCAGCACCATCTGGGACTGCAGCATCTTTTGGAGCTACTCGGGTTTCTCGATTCACAGCTTTGGAGCAGGAGGTGGCTGGGTTGCGCACCTCAGTCACTGACTTGGGTGTTGATGTGGTGGCTGACCGACAGGTGAAATCGGAGAAGAAAATTTTGGGATAGTTGAGAGCTCTAGGTCGTGCTTGCAATTTAAACCCAGACACGGTCTCCGATCAAGAGTGATCTTTCAGGGAAGTTCCTTTACCTCACTATTTTTTATTTGTATGCCATAGGGACACGGCTTCATTTTAAGTGTGGGGTGGGGGTCACTTCAATGTATATATGTATATGTAACAATTTGACTGTTTGATGTCTCTTGGTTTCTTTTTGATTGTTTTTGGTGTTTTGGTGTACTAGTACATTAGGTAAGCTTAAGGTAGGTAAGTTGTTGATACCCAATTTTTTTCTATGTATTTTTATATACAAAATACTTTCAAAATAGCATATATATGCATACATAAGCATACCCAAGTGTTTTAGTATTTTTCCGATCTTTTGAAGAGTTTTTAAAATCAATTTACTATCCATTTTAGCAGTACAAAATCCATAATTATTCCCAAAATCATCAATTTTGGTGAATAATTTATTTGATTCCCATATTTATACCAAAATATAGTTAAGATAATTTTTGTACACTTCTACAAATTTATTTGGTACTTAAAAGACTAATTGCATACAATTGCAATTCTAGTCTACTTTAAGATTAATAGCATTTTATAATTGTAAAATTGGTTCCAGTATTTTTAAATTAATATTTATATATTATTAATTGGCTCAATACTTTTAATTTGCTTTTAAAATCATTTTTACTATTTTTTATAAAATAAAAGGAAAAAACTGGCTATTTAACATTTAGCCCCATTTCATTTCAATTACAACCCCATTTCATTTCAATTTTAGCCTCAATTTGACCCCAATCCTAACCCCAACCGGACCGTCCCAATTTCAATTTTTACCCAACCCACGACCCGGGTTTAAATAACCCAACCTGTTCCCCACCTACCACTTAAATCTGGACCGTTGATCACTCAAGATCAACGGCCAAAAATAGCCCTTTCCTAATTAAACCTAAATGACTACCCTAATCTCCTTCATTTCCACCTCTCAGCCGCCTCTGAACTCTCAAACTCTCTCAAACTCTCTCAAAACTCTTCGGAACCCTAGCCTCCTCCTACCCCTTTTCAACCGCCT